GACAACAAACGAGGGGCTGTGACAAACTGTTTCGTCGGAGTTTCACCGACTCATCAGGAGGCTGAACCCTCAACAGTCTGCAGAATCCCCTCACTGATTACACTGTAAAAGATAATCTACCTTTAACCAAAATCAAAGTAGACTATATATAGTCAAACAGAGATACCTGGTAAACCGTAGGCAGAGAGGGAGAAGAGGACAACAAACGAGGGGCTGTGACAAACTGTTTCGTCGGAGTTTCACCGAATATATATATTGTCACAAAGTTATCAGAGCACAAAAGCAAAAAAAACAAAAGGAAACAAAAAAGATATCAGTTCGTTTTTTTTTTTACTTACTTACAACTCCCCCTGTTCAGAACCTCTTGTGTACAAGGCCTCCCACGTGGATGTAGGTTGAGCGGCGGCTGCCCCCACCCCTGTGTGTCATATCGACCCACTTGCACACAGCCAAAGGGCAACGAGGCTTGCCAAAGAAAAGACGAAGGGAACAGCCAAATACAACAAAACAGGGGGCAACAAGCAACAGCACCAAAAACGGATCCTAGATGACAAGTACCACATGCAAGCACCACCCCTCCTTCACAGGCCAAACGACGGGACAGCACCAAAAACGGATCCTAGATGACAAGTCCCACATGCAAGCACCGCCCCTCCTTCACAGGCCAAACGACGGGACAAGACCACCGAGGACAAAACTCGTCTGCAAAAAAAACTATATACAGCAGACGGCCTTGTTCGTCATCAAGACGCGGGTATTCTCATTCCTAAACCATTCATGCTCTCATAGGCCGAAGAACAAAAAAAAAACGGATGACTGGTCCCACATGAAAGCACCGCTACGCTCGCCAAAATAGACCGAACACCGGGACAAAACCAACCGGGATGCAGACAAGGGTGCCAAAAAACAAACATAACAGATGCTCGATGACAAGTCCCACGTGCAAGCACCACCCCTCCTTCACAGGCCAAACGACGAGACAATGACCAACTAGGATAGCAATCAACACCCTTGGCTGCAAAAAAAATATATAAAGACAATCCCAGATGACGATTCCCACCTAAAAGCACCGCCCCCTTCGATAGGCCAAACAACGGGAACCAGCCAACTAGGATGCCAAAAAGAAAAACCCGGATGCCAAGTCCCACATGAAACCACCGCCACGTGGACCAAACAACCCACATGAAAACACCGCCACGTGGACCAAACAACGAGACAAAACCAACCGGGATGCAGACAAAGAGAACCAAGAATACCAACAATTCTACCATAACCAGCACTTGAAAAAACGGAACCATACAGTAGGTCCGTAAAACGAAATACCCCAACAATGGGGAAGAGCAAAGCGAAGGAAAAAGAAAAAGGATAGAAAGGAGAATTAGAAAAGAGTATATTCTACCATAGCCAAAGAAAGAGCTTGCTAATACAGGCCCCGTGCTCGCCGCATCATCTACAAAAGCAGAGAGCTAGCAACGTCGGAGTATATATTGTCACAAAGTTATCAGAGCGCAAAAGCAAAAAAAAACAAAAGGAAACAAAAAAGATATCAATTCATTTTTTATCTTCTTACTTACAACTCCCCCTGTTCAGAATCTCTTGCGTACAAGGCCGCCCACGTGGATGTATATATATATATAGCATGGTAGCCGCCCGGATGTCCGGACCGGGTTCCAGACAGTCCGGTGTCCGGTGTCTGGTGTCCCGTGTCCGGTTCCCATGTCTGGATGGAGGCCCCTGGGGCAAAAATCAAAAAAAAAAATGGGGCGGCCCAGGACGTTGTCGGGTCCTAGCCGCCCCTCAAAAAATAACGGGGTGATTTTTAAGTGTCCTTTCACCCCACCGGACATGGCCTAGAGGTCCAGACACAAGACTATGCAGGTTTTTGAGGTGGCGGGTTTCGCACAGGCCCGAGCAACTTCAAAGCGGTAGTTTCGACGTGGCGCCCGCTGCTCCTGCCCGTTAGGGGGGGAGAGAGAGAGAGAGAGAGAGAGAGAGAGAGAGAGAGAGAGAGAGAGAGAGAGAGAGA